TTTTGGAAACAAAATCTGTCGCGGTGTTTGGAGGAATTGAAAATCTTCATCGATATAAAATTGTATGTGAATTGTCATTATCTTGAAAAATAATACTAAATTGTGAACTTAGCTCGAATAGCAACTAGATAACAGGTAACACTATATCATCAGTAAAAGTGGAACCAGGTGGACACATTTGGAAACTTAGCGGTGCTAATATAGATCAACCACCATAGGTGGCGACGGCGCAAAAGAAGCAATCCATACATAAATAAATGTACGTAGTAAAATTACAAAAAAAAATTAATATGAAATAAAATCAGAAAATTGGTCAGTGAAAATTTGTTTCTAGTAATGAACGGATCAAAATACGCAGTACATGCACTTGTACTAACTAATAAATAGTTGCAGAAACAACGCTGAATTACCTAAAACAGAACATATTTTTCTTAATAAAAAAATCGACATTAAAACATTCCTTGTTTGTGATTTATTGAAACCCCTGGTACTTCGAAAAAATACATAATAGCGAAAATTGCTGTAAGCAAATATATCAATTGTGTGTATTCCTTCATTGACGTTGATACTTAACTATGGCTGAGGTGCGTCGTAGGAAAGGTGAGAACGAGGCGGATGACGCTGGAGAAAAATTAGGAGAAGGAGACAAACGAAACTCTGCTGCAGATTCATCTGATCATGTAAGTAATTTTAGTTTTTATTATGTTTTCAATGATGAAATATATGTGTTAATTTATTAGTGTACGCTTAAATATATCTACTATGTATATATGCATTTATATATTAATTTACATATATGTATGTATGAGCATATGTGTGTGTACATTACCATACTTTGTATATATACTTTGTATATATATATATATATATATGTATGTATGTATGTAATATGTAATTTTAATAAAATCCATAATATTTTTTATAATCATTAATTTATATAATAAAATAACCTACCACTATACTCTAAAAAATTTACATATTCCAGCCATTTAAATACTATTACATGGTGTTTATATTATTCTTGAATTAGGAAAAGTCCAATTCTTCATTATTTCTATTTTCTTGTTCTGTCATGACTTTGTCCCTACATTCAAACATTAAAAAATGCAAAATCGACCATCAACGTCTAGTCAAAAGTCCACACTTGAAGCGAAAGGTCTCGGAAGAGAATAGTGAAGAATGTTAACTTAAAAGTCTGAATGAAAAAATACTTAATCCCATAGAAAAGGAAAAGCAAATTTTCGCTTTTGGTAGGTGTTGTCAATATGTGTATCTGTTTTCCTACCTTGAAAGCAATGAATAATAAAAAGTAAATCCAATTAGACGTCTTATTTAGTAGAATACATACATAAGTCATGTATGTCTTCGTTTACAAGAATTACGTATTGATTGCATTAAGTGCCCATATTCGGGGAATATACAAACCATAACTCAAATCAAATACATAGTTGGGCGCCAACTAAGTATATTTAGTTAAAAAAATACTATATTATTGTACTTAGTATGCATAAACATACATACATATGTATATCACTAATGTTAATAGACTATCTTCACTTCGCTTAGATGTCAAAAGAGCCGTTAGATGTTACTAGCCCAGGTTACGACTAACTAAATCTGTAAGCATATTTGCACAGAGTGCCTAAATATACATGCATATCGACGTGTCCTACGTACGTATGTATGTAACTAAGAATAATATTTAAAAAAGGTCTTAAAATTTAAATGGACGTAACTTGAAATCATATTGAATTGGAACTAAACTCTGAGATAGGCATTTTTAATTAGTTGCGTTCTAGATGCTTCACGATTTGCAGGTTTTTCAGGATTTGCAGGAAAAGCTGTTTTCGTCATTAATAAACCTTATGGAAGGTGGCCACCTGGAACAGCTTCCTGTAAAAACATGCAAAGCTATTCAGTTGCATGCATACACATGTTACTCACTTTTACTCTCAGAGTGTTCTTCAGAGAGTGATTTTGCTGTTTGACCTTTTTCCAGGATTTTAACGGAAAGTATTGGATCAGAGCTATTATATCATTCATGTATGTTCACCAGTTATCAACGGACTCAGTTAAAATTATTTAATTTTGTTTTTAATTATCGCCTTGCTTTTTTATCAAAATAGACTACTAAACCTATGCCTAAAACCATCTAGGAATATCAAAACCAGTTGCAACAAATTAGTTCATACATATGTATGTACATAGAAACTTAAGCATGCATACATATCGTCGCCTGGGTAAAAGATTGTCGTAAGCGCTATTTTGACGATTTTTAGTTCTAGATGCAGTTATATATTTTGAAATAAGGTCTTTCGATTGGTGTTATCAGTTTTTAGATATCTCCTTTAGTTTCCGAGATAATTTAGTAAAAATTTAGTTGGTGATGCAGTCATATTAAACTAATCAATATCTTAAAAATGGCGTTCTCCATTTTTGGATATCTCCTTTAGTTTCCGAGATATTGAGTAAAAAGTGTCGTTAATTTGGTAGAGATTTTGATCACATTTTGTCGTATTTAATACAAAGTGGCTGCCAAATTGTGGACAAATGACGCTTTCGACAAAATTTTACTAAAGAAAATCTTTCATAAACTCAAAACTAATTAACAATAAACATTAAAATTTAAATAATTTAAGAATTTTGTGAACTAGTAACATTTTCAGAGACTTTGGAGAAATTCTATATTCTTAAATTATTTAATTTTTTATATATATTTGGGTGGTTCACAAGGTGTCGTACTTGTCGTATTGTTGTATGTTGTAAAGTTTTTAACTGCTAAATAAATGTTTAGAGGACTTGAAATCACCACCAACTATATTTTAATTGTGTGAAATTTCATAATAAAACTTATGTTAGCTTGCGAATTCCTTAAATATAGTTTTAGCCGTTTAAAGTTTATGACATACAGCAGTACGACAGTATACAACACCTTGTGAACTCCCTAATTGTTAATTAGTTTTGAGTTTATGAAGGGTTTTCTTTAGTAAAATTTTGTCGTAAGCGCCATTTGTCCACAATTTAGCAGCCACTTTGTATGAAATACGACAAAATGTGATCAAAATTTCTACTACACCAACACCAATCGAAAGACCTTATTTCAAAATATGTAACTGCATCTAGAACTAAAAATCGCCAAAATGGCGCTTACGACAATCTTTTACCCAAGCGACGAATATATAGGTATATATAGGTACAAAGTCGTATACATGGGCGGAGTTTGCATAATCGGAAGTAATAATCGATTGTACCGCAATTCCTCTTACTATGCATATGCCTAAATTTACGAACATGCCAAATGAATGTCCGGCATGCGAAGAAACCCCTCACGACTCGAAACATCTCTTCGCATGCCCGGAAAACCCTACAACCATAACGGCGTCGTCCCTGTGGACCGACCCATAGCGGCTGCACGCTTCTTGGGGCTGCCGTTAGTGGAACTCGACGACAACGACTGAGATGTCAACCGATCTGGGCAGGGTTGTTGTAGCCGCTACAACAACAACAACAACGTGCTGTGCAATGAATACGCATCGCGTAGTTCCTTCCTTTTCCGCTGCAGCCTTTGTGCATTTTTAGGCACAGTGCTACGAAAAACAAATGCATGCCCAAGATTGCAAATTCGCAGGGTGCACTGACGCTATATAAATAAACCAAATAAGCCACAAAACTCGCTAGTAAAATTTTTTAAATTTGTACCTTTCAAAAAATAAACAATAAGCATTCAAAATCCATAAAAAAATACATTTTTAGAACAAAAACGTGTAATGTGCAAATTTAGGACTTGACATAAAACGTACGTTTCATAAACCGTAAGTTTCATAAAGTGCACGCAATGCTTTCATCGAAAGGGGTCAAAATCCAAAGCATACTACATATATTTTTTTTTTCTCAAACACAATATTTGACTGACATTTCTTTTATATATTTAATGGTTTCCTTTCACAGAGTTCATTTCGATAGCTGAGTGGAAGATCAACCTATCCCGGCAGACGGTTCGAAAACGCCCTATCTCAGAAAAATTTTCAACAACGCTCTGTTCAGAAAACTTCAAGAACGCCCTACTCCAGAATTTCGTTGAACAACGCCCTATCTCAGAATTGGGGTTGCCGATTCAAAAACGCCCTATCTCAGCTCATTTGCAAATGAAAATCATTTGAGATAGGGCGTTTATGAACTGGCTACCGGGATAGGTCGATCTTCCACTCAGCCATTGATTTGTGCTTCAATCGCTATTTAAAATGACTCTTATATTCAACAGTTTTTATTGAGCTTCAGGCTGTTTCCATAGAAAAAATGTTGTGGAAATATAACAATGATTTACCTAGAAGTTATAGCTACTATCACCACATCTCCTCGTTAGATAATAATAATAATAAAAATTGTTGAGATCATCAAATATTGTTTACCATTATAATCTTAAACTAAATGATGGCAAATTTTATGAATTTTTCCATCCAAAATATTAAAAAAAGCATTAAAAAAATTTAACCATTCAAGCCGAACCGAACCGCGGTTCAATAATACTCATGAACCGGTTATTGTGCCCGTACAAGTGTTGACTTAGCCGAAAAATAAAATTTACCAAAATTGTTAAACAAACGTACCATGCATTTTGAATGCATGCATAAAACGAGTTTGGTATCATGTTATCCATAATCTGCATGTTGATCTTGTCAAGCAAATGAAGGGACCTAAGGTCGCAACGCTGGCACGTTTCTTTTTCTAAGTGGTTCGAACCACTGAACCGAACCGCACCGTCTTTTGGAGTGGTTTGCAGTCCTGATATTAACCGATCTCAAAATATAAAAAATACGGGCGTCTTATTTTCGATATTCTTCAATTATGGGGGGTGGCAGGAAATAAACTTTGCACCAGCCTAATACATATTTATATGTAAGCATGTACATACATAAGTATGTATACAATGTGTTCATGCTGTTGATGTTTAGAATGCCCCAGCATAACACTTGCGCCATAGCAAATGCATTCGTTCAAAGCAATAACACTGTGCGACAGCTCAAATCGGTATTGAGTAAAACCAAATGCAAGTGATAGTTTTAGGTGTCAATAATACTACATTAATGGTTTTTTTTTCGTGTTTAGCTCAAATAAGGAAGATATCTTTAATTGTATCCTTGCTCAAAATTTATTGTTTAATTTGGTTAAGTTTTTGAAAAATATTTTTAGAAAATGTTCATATAATGGTTTTTGATACGAGAAATTCATTTTTGAAGTTAGTTTTTTTATTAGCTCTGCGCTAGATGGCGCATATTAAATTTCATTGAGTTTTTCAAATATTAAAGTTAGAGGTCTATTAAAAAATTTAGTCGCGATGTGAAATTTACATTATTCGTATTACAAATACCTATTTTAAACACCACAATCAATATTTAAAACATAAAGATTTATTGTATTTCCTTTTATTCTTTTGTCTATTTTTTCAAATTTTTTCTT